AGGAGAGCTCATGAGGTTATTTGTGTTTACTGATAACATTAATCAAACGTGTGAGATAATCAACTCTCTTTGCCCTAAATGATTGTTTCTAAGACAATGATTCATGACATTTGTAATAGATCTGTATATTACACTGGATACCTGATATCATAATATGCTGCAAGTACTGTGTATTCCCCGAAGCTGTCAGCTCAAGACCCATCAATACATTTCATCTATCCTAAGTAAATGCATCAATCAGGCGCGCTCTTAAAGGTGTGGATCATTTGTTGTAATACCAATCAATGGATTTTGTTTGGTCAAATCATAGTAATTTTACAGACAGCAATGAATCACATTGCTGGGATATTGCAGAGTGCAGCGTTAAACAACAGCAAAAGAGCACAACAGAAGCAAGGTCAGCTCGTTGTACAGGTAAATTCGCTCAGATACCTGTAGATATGACAATTAATAGATGTGTGCGCATGATATTAGGATATGACTTGTTGAAGTCCAGTTGAAGAATTGGTGTCCAATTATGTTTCGCAAATACGTTCTTCCCGATATGTTCCCTACCCTGAGTGCCCTTTGTGCTGTACTGATACTGTGCTACCCATGTACAGATGCCCATGGTCGAAACAGGACGCCTAGGAACCCTTGTCCCGCCACACCTAGATGCCAACAGAATGGTGTAGTTACTTGTCAAGGATGTGGACTCCCAACGTCTTTGGCATGTCTTTATGGCAATAATGGTTGCTTCCTCCATCATGTAAGTACGTGAACCCCATGATCGGAGAGGATGCGACCCTCTTATTTTTGGCATAAAAACACACAAATGTCAAGAAGAAAGATCTCACTCCCTAACAAATGGTGGAATGTTTACGTTTTCATTTTCTAGGGCTGTAGGGCTGAATGTATGAACGGGGGTACTAAACAGGCGAACGGGACCTGTGCTTGCAAACCAGGCTATATGGGAGACATCTGTCAACATGACATCCGCAGTAAGTATTTAATTCGTTCACCATTCTTAATTCTCCTACAGAATAAGCTCATTTGCAACCAAAGTTGCCTTTGATCCGATTGCACCTGCTTCACCTTGAGTTAAAACAGATAGGATCAACAGAATAATATCCATATGAATATTTCCATTACCGTAAGCTATGTTTGCGATCTGGAACAATGATTTAAATGTTTGCTGATCCTAAAGCCTTGAACAAATCGGAAATTTATACAGAAACTCGATGAATGTACCCTCTAATACAGATTATTCATACACAATTTCGACATACTCTCTGAAACAGCTTGATGGACTGAACTGAAACGTTTTGTAAATGTCCCTAGCATAAGAGGACAATCTTAGATATGAATATTTTATATGACACACTTATCAACTGGCTCAAGTCACTGGACATCCCAAGTTTTATGAGAGGGGATGTCGAGGTTTTTCCATATGTTAAGAAACCCACAGATAAACCGGATTCTGTGCTTAAAGCCCTCACGACGTCATGCGGTAATGACGTCACCACCCACCTCTTCTTGGATAATATCATACCAGACATCACATCACTTCTGCAGCGCCTTCTGGCAAATCAGCTCCCTGGTGGCATTCATTGGAACAAAACTTCACAATCACATCCACATTGCACGTCATCTTTAAAACACACCAAACTCCCGGAATCTGTATTTGGTCAGTTGTATCACATAAAACCACAATCCATCTTCGTCCGTTTACACTCAGGAATCACACATCATTTTCAATGTCAACGGAGTTAATGAGTGGAGAGCCACTCTATCATATGATTCCCAACAGAATGTCCTCAACCATGCCTCAAAACTTACAAAAACATCCCTCGCCCAATTTAAACATCGCAAATTAATTATTCAGCAACAAAAACAGGATGCCCTCAAACACAAACAAGAGGAAGTTGCTCGAAAACTTAAAAGACAGCAAAGTAAACATGATGCCAACCTAGAATCAATTATGATACATGGACTGTGGCAGTCCTACAATGAAGTGGACAACCGTTTAAATCAATATCGGTCAAAGAAGGAGCGTATGGAGGCACTGAAGTGTCAAATTCGTTTCCGAAATAAAGTTCAAAAACAAAAACCCGAAAATCTTCTGCTCTTACAGTTTTTTAACAATAAAAAAAAACAATTGACCTTTCAACTCTCACTAACAATGTTTAATATCTCTGGCAACTTCTAACAACACTGGTGAGGGTTCCTCAAGGAGTATTCTTGTTGGAGAGAGGGTGAATCATGTATGGGATGTGGAGGGTAATTTACAATGGTTTCCGGGGATGGTCATTTCCCAAGTACCGGGATATTTAAAATGGCACAATATCGTGTATGACAACGAACCAGAAAAAGTGTACACATTCACTTTATTTGACGATCTGGAGAAAGGCGAGCTGCACGTTTTGCCCAGCGTAAGTTTCATGATATTGTATTATCACCACCCACAACCACTCTAGGCACATTGGGCAGGCTCTTTTGTAACCAATACACATTTTTTCGTCACATACCTATTTCATTGTTTTCATATTCACTTAATTATTACTGATTACCTTATGTGTGCGACTACATATATATGTATGTGCTTATGCATCTATATATGTTACGTGTGTCTCTCTCCCTCTCTTTCTCTCTCTCTCTCTCTCTCTCTCTCTCTCTATATATATATATATATATATATATATTATTATTACTATATTGTGCCTGATATTTTGAACTTTACTCTAAATGTGTGTATGGAACTTTATTATCACTTAATACTTGTCTGCATAATTGATATATGTATTAACATCTCATATTTTCACTTATATATCGAATGTGTATGTGTGTGTTGAATCCTAGTTACATGTGTTCACATTATCAGAGGAAATGTTTCTACACTTTGTATTCTGTTTAACCGATCTGTGCGATATATTTTTGCCACAACGTATGCTCCCTCATTACACGAAAGTTAGAGTTATCTCCCTTTTAAAATTAGCTTCCGGTATGACTTTCAGATCGCCTCAGTGACATGAGAAGCCTCCGAGTTGACCTTCATTCATAAAGGACCTGTATGCCCAGTAACATTATATATTTTTTACATGTTTTCGCTTTATTACGTTCATATGGACAAATGAACACACAAATTGCAGTATATTTGAAAAATATTTTGAAAGTCCCGGATAATGAACAATTTTTACAGCGTATGCTTGAACGTGCGGCCACTTGGTACTCTGCATTGCAATTAAAAGTTAATCAGAAATAAAACTAAAGTTGTTCATTTCCGTCAAGCTTCATGTTCAAGATCAGATTATTCATTATATTTCGATGACGATTAAACAGAAGCTTATAAATATATTGAATTATGGTTTCATGAACACCTTAATCTTAATTTTACAGCGAATGAAATCTGCAAGTCGTGCTTTGGATGTAATAATTTGCAAATTTAAATCAGTTGGTGGACTACCTTATGAAGTTTTTAATACTCTTTATGCAAATCTTGTTCAACCAAGGTGTTAGGATATGGGGTGGAGGTTCCCTCTCGTGAAACAACATGTTGAGGTTCTCAGATTCCGGCGCCGTTTACACAGAGCACAGCAATCCATCATTGTTAGATCTGTGAATAACAAGGTCGCTTAAGTTTAGAAAATCCTGGCATAATGTTACATATTCACTTCTTTAAAACTGGGCTTTACCCCTGTCAAATGTTTTGACATATCCTCAGCTGAATTGATTCTGCAAAACAGTGGTTAATGTGTATTGATTATAATAGCTGGCTTGTAGAATTATGGAATGATAGAAATTTAGAAAATGGTAATACGCTATGAACGTATAGACGATTTAAAACTGATTTTTATACTGAGAAGTATGTCAGTGCTTCACTTAATGGATACGATAGAAGTATTTTTAGTAACTTTCGTTGTGGAACCTTACCTTTAGAGATTGAATTAGGATGATACACAAAACCTGTACCACTTTAATAAATAGACTCAATAGAAGATGAAATACACTTTCTTGCAACTTGTGAGCTTTACTCATACCTACGTTTTAATTTGTTTCATTCTATTTCTAGTTTAGATCCCTCCTTCCTATAACTTGATCCAGCTGACCAGTTTAATTATGTAATGAATAATGATTCACTGTGTAATAAGTTAGCTGTATTACTAACACAAATGTAAAAGCGTCATTGTCACACACTCTCTTAATATCATGTCACTACCCAGTTAATCCCGTTTTAATGGATTGATGTACATTTTATCTTTTAAAACGTCCAATTTTAATTCTGGAAACCCAAACAGTCCAGAAACTCTACGGTATTTGCCCAGTCTCGGTCAAAGGTATTTACAAAATTAAACATGCTGTTTTCAAGGGAACATACTAAGGAAGAAAAAATGAAAAAAACTTTGTTCAAAAACTCAACATTTACACTATGTCGCCCATGGGCCTGTCCATGGTCGAAGAGTGGCCCATGGGCGAGAATATGTTCCTTTACTCAAAACTCTTGTTTTTGTTTCGCAAATACATATATGCATTTCTTTCAAGTATCATGACACAAAATTCATATCATTTTAACCTAATTCAACGATTTTATAGCGATATTGAAATATTTCGCCCAGGGGCGCGTAAAAGCTTTGGCCCATGGGTGAGAATATTTTCCTTTGCTCAAAACTCATGTTTTTGTTTCCCAAATACATACAGGTGTTCTTACAAGTTTAATGACACATAATGTAAATCATTTTAACTTAATTCAACTATTTTATTGCGTTATTGAAATACCATCTTCGAGATCCTGCTAGACTGAAAGTAGATACTTTCATTGCCAATATGAAGGACCTTGTCCGAACAGACTACAGACCACTGCCTAGTATATTTCAAGAGGAACTTAACAGTAAGTAATCAATTTAAATTTTCTTACTAAAATAATATGTTTGCATTCATAAATCCTTGCATTCAAGGCATAGCATAGCATAGCAGGTTTATTTGAATTTGTGACATTTTTCTCAGATTTAGAGAATCTTACTTAATGAGTAATATCTGTTTTGCAGTGTTTTTTAAATATTATATTGTTTGTGAACCTGATCAAGTCCGAACAGAAATTTGCAGAGTTGACGGTGATGCAGCTGAATGCAGGTGGAAGTGTTAGACCCAAGAAGAAGGTGTACCGCCAGCTAAAGGAAAGGTTAGAGCAGCAAAAGAGACTACTTGTGACAGGTGTCACAACCCCCCTGATCTATGGAGACAATGTCTCACATCTTGTCGGACTATAAATTGGATGATATGTTTCATATATTGTTTGACTTTGGAAGCTGTGTGAAATAAAATATGAATGTAAAATGTTGCAAATATCTGTGTGAAATAAAATATGAATGTAAAATGTTGCAAATATCTGTGTGAAATAAAAGATGAATGTAAAACTTTTTTTTTGGTGTGTGTTTTAGTTAATATAACATATTTATTGACTGTTGAATGTGCTGCAATTAATACTTGAACCTGACATTCTTAGGCTAGATATAGTTCATGGTTGTACACCCCGGATAGAATTACACGGGGAATAAATTGGACCTGCAGGCTCAGTCAGGTGTAACCACTTATCCCTTCTGTAAACATCAAGCTGCTGGCAAAGTGAGGGTAAACCGTGGTGGCTACGTGTCACACTTTTAATCCCCCTCGCAAATGGGTGCCTTCATTAGCATACACAATGAGTTTACTTCTTTTATGCTTCTTTGTTTAAATTAATTCGAGTCTCCTTCCAATATCAATTCATTAGGTTAACTTTGTGAGCAATGTTAAATCCGAGGAACAACACATGAAAGGAAAGCTTATGTCAATTCATTCTTAGCCGTAGATATTAATTAAACAATAAACATACAGTTTGACCAATCAGAGCAAACTGTGCGTTCTACCTCGTCAACATTTTGGGTAATATAAGAGCAGGACAGAGCTGTCGAATCACTCTGCTCCTGTAATAAACTTTGGAAGGCACAAGTTACTCAACGTTGCTTCTACTTTAAGGTAAGCCTTTTCTTTGTGTTGTTGCCTAAAATAACATATGATTCTTTATCTTTAAAGTTTATCTTTAATGGGTGTATTGATACTATCAACATTAAATTTTGTCACTTGTATTTGCTAGTTCAAAGTCAGAAATCTTACTTCATTCTTGTTAATAGTGAGTACATGAATATACATGTTATAAGGCTAAAAGCAATGACCTGTATGACCTGTAGAGTAACGTTACCCGTTATACCTGATAACTCTTAATTGAATTAAAACCGTATCAGTGCGAGGTTTCAGTTGTTAAATTTAGCATTCCCATAATGAATTGCGCTCTGCTTATGTTATTCATCCCTTCCGAACATCTTGAGGGATTGAGTTCACTATTTGTAAGGTTAATTGGTCAGAAAGTGCGTCACCTTTCTTCGAGGCCTCAACAGAAATGTTTGGGTTTCTCATTCTCCGAACCATGAAAGCGAATGCTAATTGCCATGATGGTACATTGGTAATGAAGCCTGTTCGAGGCAGAGACGATGTTGGAATAGTCATGGACAGTTTGTTGGATTGAGATGTTAGTTCCTACTCCAAATGTTTCTGTAAGGCATAAACAAGCAGTTGGTCACTGCTTTAAGCGAATTGTTATTTTTCCCGTATCAGCTCGATATTCGCATACAATTGCTTAGATGCTTACAGTTAAAACAGTTATTAGGTGCGGTTGGTGGTATTAGGATGGGTTTTAATGTTCACGTTTACAATGTACAAAACAGGGAAATGATCAGATTCAACTACATATGTGCATATTATTTTCATTTTACATTTCATGTTGCAGTTGAAGAAGTGTCGTAAAGGCGTCCGATGATCTGGAGCAACAATTTCCCTCCCGATATGTTTCCAACACTGAGTGTCCTTTGCGCTCTTTTGATACTGTGCTTCCCGTGTACAGATTCAAAGAATGACCGAAACCCTTGTCCCGCCACACCTAACTGCCAACAGAATGGTGTTGTTGTTTGTGAGGGATGTGGACTCCCAACATCTTTGGCGTGTCTTTATGGCAGTAATGGATGCGACCTCCATAGTGTAAGTACGTCATAATAGTTGAGGGAGCGACCTTCATCGTGTAAGTACGTAATGATAGTTAAAGGAGCGACCTTCATAGTGTAAGTGCGTAATGATAGTTAAGGGAGCGACCACCTAATAGACATTGTGTTGTGCATGCCGTATATTTTGTTCATTTTGAAAAGGTATGAAAAGAGGAATCTTTATTACTATTGATACTTACTGTTTGGGCCCGAGGGATTTGTCATCTTCTGATGAATCTTGTTTGGGAGGAGGGTTTACCATCTGTTTATTTATCTGAAACAAAGGTGATACGCTGTGATATAACTATTCCAAGCGGCGTTAAATCTAACTTACTAATATTGAAATGCTTTGATTTTATAGGGCCAGAGAACTGATTGTTTGAATGGGGGCACAAAACAGACCTGTGCGTGCAAACCAGGCTATATGGGAGACATCTGTCAACATGACATCCGCAGTAAGTATTTGTTCACCACTCCCAATTCTCCTACAGACCGATCTTGTTTGTAACATTAGCATTTGACCCGGTTGTTGCTGGTTTTCCTTAAGTTCAGCTGGACAGAATACATAGTACATTATCGATATGAATACCGAGACGTTTGCATTAGATTGCAACGCATATCCGGTTTATAAATAGTCTTCAATCCGTGGTTGTCGTAAAGGAAGCCCAATGGGATCGGGTGGCCAGGCTCGCTGACGAGGGACGATGTCAAGTTTGTCCCGCAATATTCCAGCATTTACGACTGCTACTATCCTTAAACAAAAGTTGTTTGTTCTGAGTCACAACATGCCAGGCCTTCTTAAAGCCTTAAAAACAGTTTCTGGTAGAAATGTCGAGGACACTGCTAAATTTTCATGTGTCCGCGTATTTATACAGGTGACCAATTGACTTGCCTTTGTATGTGTTTGTGACAAGTGGGTTAGGATACTTTAACCGATCCGCGAATACCTTATATCATCATTAATTAACAGTCATTCATAAACACATGCATATGAAATGTTTGGAATCGTACAGTACTCAGGAAAGATTTCTTATCACTACGGAAATGATTGTGTCACTATTATTTCCATCTCAAAGAGCATATCTGTTTCCATACATGTTCTACGCTCAGTACTATTTTTGTTCAAAAAGAAGTCAATTTACAATTATTTTTCCAGCATGTCATGACATCTACAATGTTGCACCGGGCACAGCTAGCGGCGAGTATACTCTCAGGACTAACAATGGCAGTACCATCAGAGTTTGGTGCCGCTTCAGCAGCAGTGACATTATCACCTACTTTTCCAAATCCGCTGCAGCCACATTGACAACAGAGGATTTAAGTCTCCACTTAAACACTAAGTCCAAAGTCAGCTTTGTTGCAAAGTGGAGCAACACGACACAATCCGAATCCACAATCTCTCAGCTTGATAGGTTTTTATTCCTACCTCTTGGCATCATGGTCAATGAATATACACTCTACACAAGCCCACACAACCCGAATCTAGGTCCCTATCTATACCTGGGTTTTCATCCCAAAGTCCTCCTTTCGAAAGGTTTCGTGCATGGATACAACGCAAATGGAGTTGACCAGTCATTCAGTAATTGTGACGGAAACCCCAATGCCTATTTCACCTTCTATACGAATCCCAATCAGCGTTCGCCTTCAAGGACAGGATGGGTGAACCCTCATCATCCTTTGACGGATCAGTGGAATTCGGGTGCCAAAATGTTAAGTACAACTGACCATCTCAACGACGACTACTTCTACGACACGGAACTACACTTCGGGGGATGTGGTACTTACGCCATCTCTCCTAGTAATCCAAGTCTCGGCGGTATAGGTCTCGGGGTCGTATATGGTCAGTATCATCAACTTAAGTAAAGTCTTATCTGTTATTTTTTTGCTTTAGATAGAAATGTTCATTATAGATCTAGGTTTTACTACTTTATTTGTTTTTGTCATAAATAATCATTAGCCTATTCATTAGCCTTTTCTGTTAATATCTCCAACCAATACTTTGACAAAACTGAATGTGATGTAATATTCCCTTTCATCTCCAGTTCACGGCTAAACACAAAGGCCCTACCCTTGGACTTTGGAATTTAACGTTGTTGTCAAATGCCTGCAACAACAGCAAGAAGGAGCGCCATAGACCACGTGATGATTATGCCTGTACACCTATAACGTTAATAAATAGTATGAATTCAAATCTTGAATCCCTTATTTCACGTCTCCCCACACTGGTTGCAATTAGTGCGGAGGTAACCACGCCCCCAACAACCAGGCGAACATTCGTCACACACCTACATGGTATATTAATTGGTTGAGAATACATTTCATGAATACTCGGTCCTCGAAACACAATTTTAATAAACAAGGTTACGTTTCGCATGACACGGATATACAGCTTGTCGTGAAAGATCAAGGATTCAGTAATTATTGCTTAATGTGTAAAGCGATTTCAAAGTCAGTATTAAGAATAATACGAGGCACTGCTACACAGAGATTCACACTGTTTTTCTGTTGTTTATTTACCACAATACATGTCCGTATTTGACAGTGTTTAACAACCCTTGTGTAAACAACATTAAGTTAGTTAAAGCCAACATGAATTATCCACATGAATATCCTCCTAATGTCATTGCTGTGAGATTAAAACTGGGATTTCTTCTAACCGACGTCTGTTTTAACACAGCTCGTGTCACTGTAGACTACCTACATAATGCAAACATCAACGGCTTACCCTGGCCGTTGAGATATCCAGATCTCAACCCAATCGAACACCTCTGGGATGAACTCGATCGACGTATACGTCAACGTCAGAACACGCTGCAGACACTCCCACAACTGGTCAAAGCGTTACAAGCAGAATGGCGCAGAATTCCGCAGGACAGAATCCGTACATTTATCCAGTCAGTGTCGAGGAGATGCAGAGCCGTGATTGCTGCCCGGGGCGGTCACACGTAGATACTGAGTTCAGCGCATTCTTGTGGCCTAATGTGACATGACAAAGAACATTTTTCAATGCCTTTGTACAACGACAATATGTGACTATCGAGCTCCAAAATTTCATATTTATATAAATATATCGACTTTATTATGTACAATAAATTAACTAAAAATCCACTTGTGCGTTTCCTTTTTTGAAGAGTGTATGTGTTCATTACACACGTGTGAATGAGGAAGTGATTAACAACTTATACTTACGATTTAGTCGGAATCGTACAATGGGTTCTGATTTTAGTTGCGAATTCTTATGATTATGGGTGTTTTTTTGTAGCTTTTAATTTACATGGATTTTTTACTCATTAATATTACATTTCATGTTGCATTAAACTTTCTGGCAGTAGATGTATACGCTGTACTGGTGATAGGGGTATAATGGTGCATGGGTTTCTCGATACATTTTTATATTTTGTACACATTAACCTGAACAAAGCATAACTGTATTTTTGCAACTTGCTAAGTACAATTAAAATATATCTTGCAGCTTTCGCCACTGGTCAATCGCAGTTACAGTTACTTAGCAAACACATACATGTAAGCGTTAAACTGTGTAAGTATTGTTATAGCGCGCCATTTGCCCTATTATTCCTCAAAAGAAAGTTTGATATTTGATAACATATCAAATGTAATTATGCTTTATATATTTGGTCTATTTTCTATTATACAAAATGTTACACAGTTTTTGCCGAAGTCAACATTCAGTGTCACTGCTGCGTCACGGCAACTCAAGCCAAGCCTGTCATGTAATTAGAGTGGTCACTATGTGTAACAGTTTAATCCCTTAAGCAAATATCCGCCTTCATCAGAATACACAAGGGCTTAATCACACCATGTGTCTTTGTTTAAATTAATTCAAGTCTCACTAGGTTAACTATGTGAGCTTTGTTAAATCCGGGAACAATACTTGAAAATTAGATATATGTCAATTTAATCGTAGATATTAAACAATAAAGATACAGTTTGACCAATCAGAGCAAAGTGTACGTTATACCTCGTCAATGTTTTGGGTAATATTAGAGCAGGACATAGCTGTCCCAATGGGCGCCTGCGTTAGTGTTTAATGTGTGTGTTGATACTATGAACATTGAATCGTGTCACTTGTATTTGCTTGTTGAAACTCAGAACTTTGATTTGTGTCTTTTGAATAAATTATGACTTATTTAGAAAAGGTTTAAACGAAGATCCAAAATGAGAAAATTCATATAATTGTTTTCATTTATGTCCTTTATCTAAATTAGCCAGAAACATGGATTGATGCAATTGTACCCAATTATGTGAACGAAAGCATTTTTAGGAATGTACATACATATATAAAGAAAACAAAAAGGTTTGAGTGAGCAATGTGAATGTACATTGTTTCTCTATTTCTTTTCATTCCTTTCTGTCATTCAGTGGATTAACTTGTAAATAAGCATACAAGTAAATCAATGTGAAAAGACGTTCTAAGTTGTGATGACGTGTGCCTAATCATTTTCATGAGAAGAAATTATGTTTAAACTGAAAATATATTATTGTGTATATGTACAAGTATGTTGATGTTGAAAAGCTTGTATAAAGCATTCCTTTCGTGACTAATATGCTAAAAGACATTAGTGGACTTGACGTTACAGAACTTAGTAATGTAAATACTTAATATAGTCATTCTAAAATGAGGTATCATTAATATAATATGTACTAAGCTGATACTGACAACCTTTGGTATGTTTTTGTATGTACTCTGTATACGAAATGGTTCAGTGTTAGTTTCATAAGGCTTACTTGAAATATAAACTTACAAGGAAGGTAACAATTTAATCAGAAACCTTTTTTTGGTTTTTAATGTAGATTTGGGTGAAATTACATGCAGTTTTGTAAAGGCTTACTTGAAAAATAAAATGACGAGGTATGTAACGATTAAATTTTAATGTTACAAGAGATGGTGCTACACCAGTATAAATGTTGATAGTTTAAGAAGTAAGGATATTGTATAGTATACTATCATTATGTGATAAGATAAAGCTTATGCTAACCTATTATAATATTTAAGTATAATATATATAATGTATAGCATATTGGATAATTGTAAATTGCACTATTTATTTATATATGGAAACACACAGCTTCGACACGAATGTATTTACCAAAGTCATTTATACATATCAAAAAGGGACACAGCTTTGCCTAATTCTGATTTACTTGCTTCCATGCACAAGGAGCTGGATAACGTGGCTCTACCTGCCAGTCAGAGAGTCAGCAACCCCAGGGCACGGTCTTCCTACAAACCTTAAAGGGCAGGTTCGTTGCTGAACGTAAAGTGTTTGATAAACTTTTAAGAAAATGTCAAAGAAATTATCAACGTAATGAACAAGCACGCCTACTAGTAAAGTTTAAACAGAGAAGACCATTGGCAAAACAGGCATATCAAACGACAGAAATAGCAGTATTCAACTAGAAATTATTGATGATGATGTTGTAATTACAGATAAAGATGATGTGTTAGAAAAATGGAAAAATGACTATAGTTCTCTGTATTCAAAGCATATTAATGTTGATTGTTAAAATTCTGATCAAGCTGATCCAGAGAATGTGGTCAACTGTGACGTAGGACTTGACACTAATTACCTTGATGCAGCTATCGCGCGTGCTGAGGTTGAACGTGCTGTAACACGTGCTAAACGTGGTAAGGCTGCTTGTAATGACCTACTCCAGGCTGAAGCTTTGAAAAACAACAAATGTATTGATATTTTGTGGAAACTGTTTTGAAAATATGGTTTTTGAAAATTGTATTTGCCCTGATTTATGGCAACTTAGTGTTGGTAATCCAATTAGGAAAATCTAATACAAATCCTCGGGATCCCCTCAGCTACCGAGGAATTTCCCTACTATCAATTCCTTGTCAAATGTACTGACATTTTAAATTCCAAATTAAATACCTTGTTAGAAAATAACGAAATTTCAGCTAACGAGCAAAATGGCTTTCCCTCAAAATGTAGTACCCAAGAACATATTTATTCATTATATTCAGTTGTTAATAACCGTAAACAATCAAAACAGTCCACTTTTGTTTGTTCCATTGATATTATGAAGGCCTTTGATAAAGTCCATAGACAGTCCCTGTGGTATAAATTGAAACGTTTAGGCATCAGTGGTAGGTTCCTTAATGTTGTTCAACCCATGTATGATAACATTCAATCTTGTGTAAGAGTGAATGATCTCAATACTGATGTATTTTCTGCATATTACGGTGTGCGACAAGGTTGCGTTATGTCGCCGACACTTTTTTCGGTTTCCATTAATGATCTAGAATATGTTAATAGTTTACGTCGTGGTATTAACGTTGGTGATGCTATACTTAGCCTTTTGTTATATGCTGATGATATAACCTTAAAAGCACCTAATGAACATTTTTTTACAGCGTATGCTTGAACGTGCGGCCAATTGGTACTCTGCATTGCAATTAAAAGTTAATCAGAAATAAAACTAAAGTTGTTCATTTCCGTCAAGCTTCATGTTTAAGATCAGATTATTCATTTTATTTCGATGACGATAATGTCATTGATTAAACAGAAGCTTATAAATATATTGAATTATGGTTTCATTAACACCTTAATCTTAATTTTACAGCGAATGAAATCTGCAAGTCGTGCTTTGGATGTAATAATTTGCAAATTTAAATCAGTTGGTGGACTACCTTATGAAGTTTTTAATACTCTTTATGCAAATCTTGTTCAACCAAGGTGTTGGGATATGGGGTGGAGGAAACAACATGTTGAGGTTCTCAGATTCCGGCGCCGTTTACATAGAGCACAGCAATCCATCATTGTTAGATCTGTGAATAACAAGGTCGCTTAAGTTTAGAAAATCCTGGCATAATGTTACATATTCACTTCTTTAAAACTGGGCTTTACCCCTGTCAAATGTTTTGACATATCCTCAGCTGATTGATTCTGCAAAACAGTGGTTAATGTGTATTGATTATAATAACTGGCTTGTAGAATTATGGAATGATAGAAATTTAGTAAATGGTAATACGCTATGAACGTATAGACGATTTAAAACTGATTTTTATATCGAGAAGTATGTCAGTGCTTCACTTAATGGATACGAAAGAAGTATTTTTAGTAACTTTCGTTGTGGAACCTTACCTTTAGAGATTGAATTAGGATGATACACAAAACCTGTACCACTTTTAATAAATAGACTAAATAGAAGATGAAATACACTTTCTTGCAACTTGTGAGCTTTACTCATACCTACGTTTTAATTTGTTTCATTCTATTTCTAGTTTAGATCCCTCCTTCCTATAACTTGATCCAGCTGACCAGTTTAATTATGTAATGAATAATGATTCACTGTGTAATAAGTTAGCTGTATTACTAACACAAATGTAAAAGCGTCATTGTCACACACTCTCTTAATATCATGTCACTACCCAGTTAATCCCGTTTTAATGGATTGATGTACATTTTATCTTTTAAAACGTCCAATTTTAATTCTGGAAACCCAAACAGTCCAGAAACTCTACGGTATATGCCCAGTCTCGGTTAAAGGTAATTACAAAATTAAACATGCTGTTTTCAAGGGAACATACTAAGGAAGAAAAAATGAATAAAAAATTGTTCAAAAACTAAACATTTACACTATGTCGCCCATGGGCCTGCCCATGGGCCTGCCCATGGTCGAAGAGTGGCCCATGGGCATGAATATGTTCCTTTACTCAAAACTCTTGTTTTTGTTTCGCAAATACATAAATGTATTTCTTTCAAGTATCATGACACAAAATTCAAATCATTTTAACCTAATTCAACGATTTTATAGCGATATTGAAATATTTCGCCCAGGGGCGCGTAAAAGCTTTGGCCCATGGGTGAGAATATTTTCCTTTGCTCAAAACTCATGTTTTTGTTTCGCAAATACATACAGGTGTTCTTACAAGTTTAATGACACATAATGTAAATCATTTTAACTTAATTCAACTATTTTATTGCGTTATTGAAATACGATCTTCGAGATCCTGCTAGACTGAAAGTAGATACTTTCATTGCCAATATGAAGGACCTTGTCCGAACAGACCACAGACCAGTGCCTAGTATATTTCAAGAGGAACTTAACAGTAAGTAATCAATTTAAATTTTCTTACTAAAATAATATGTTTGCATATATAAATCCTTGCATTCAAGGCATAGCATAGCAGTGTTTTTGAATGTCAGGTTTATTTTATTTTTCAATGTCAGGTTTATTTGAATTTGTGACATTTTTCTCAGATTTAGAGAATCTTACTTAATGAGTAATATCTGTTTTGCAGTGTTTTTTAAATATTATATTGTTTGTGAACCTGATCAAGTCCGAAGAGAAATTTGCAGAGTTGACGGTGATGCAGCTGAATGCAGGTGGAAGTGTTAGACCCAAGAAGAAGGTGTACCGCCAGCTAGAGGAAAGGTTAGAGCAGCAAAAGAGACTACTTGTGACAGGTGTCACAACCCCCCTGATCTATGGAGACAATGTCTCACATCTTGTCGGACTATAAATTGGATGATATGTTTCATATATTGTTTGACTTTGGAAGCTGTGTGAAATAAAATATGAATGTAAAATGTTGCAAATATCTGTGTGAAATAAAATATGAATGTAAAATGTTGCAAATATCTGTGTGAAATAAAAGATGAATGTAAAACTTTTTTTTTGGTGTGTGTTTTAGTTAATATAACATATTTATTGACTGTTGAATGTGTTGCAATTAATACTTGAATCTGACATTCTTAGGCTAGATATAGTTCATGGTTGTACACCCCGGATAGAATTACACGGGGAATAAATTGGACCTTCACGCTCAGTCAGGTGTAACCACTTATCCCTTCTAGCTGTAAACATCAAGCTGCTGGCAAAGTGAGGGTAAACCGTGGTGGCTACGTGTCACACTTTTAATCCCCCTCGCAAATGGGCGCCTTCATTAGCATACACAATGAGTTTACTTCTTTTATGCTTCTTTGTTTAAATTAATTCAAGTCTCCTTCCAATATCAATTCATTAGGTTAACTTTGTGAGCAATGTTAAATCCGAGGAACAACACATGAAAGGAAAGCTTATGTCAATTCATTTTTAGCCGTAGATATTAATTAAACAATAAACATACAGTTTGACCAATCAGAGCAAACTGTGCGTTCTACCTCGTCAACATTTTGGGTTATATAAGAGCAGGACAGAGCTGTCGAATCACTCTGCTCCTGTAATAAACTTTGGAAGGCACAAGTTACTCAACGTTGCTTCTACTTTAAGGTAAGCCTTTTCTTTGTGTTGTTGCCTAAAATAACATATGATTCTTTATCTTTAAAGTTTATCTTTAATGGGTGTATTGATACTATCAACATTAAATTTTGTCACTTGTATTTGCTAGTTCAAAGTCAGAAATCTTACTTCATTCTTGTTAATAGTGAATACATGAATATTCATGTTAAAAGGCTAAAAGCAATGACCTGTATGACCTGTAGAGTAACGTTACCCGTTATACCTGATAACTCTTAATTGAATTAAAAACGTATCAGTGCGAGGTTTCAGTTGTTAAATTTAGCATTCCCATAATGAATTGCGCTCTGCTTATGTTATTCATCCCTTCCGAACATCTTGAGGGATTGAGTTCACTATTTGTAAGGTTAATTGCTCAGAAAGTGCGTCACCTTTCTTCGAGGCCTCAACAGAAATGTTTGGGTTTCTCATTCTCCGAACCATGAAAGCGAATGCTAATTGCCATGATGGTACATTGGTAATGAAGCCTGTTCGAGGCAGAGACGATGTTGGAATAGTCATGGACAGTTTGTTGGATTGAGATGTTAGTTCCTACTCCAAATGTTTCTGTAAGGCATAAACAAGCAGTTGGTCACTGCTTTAAGCGAATTGTTATTTTTACCGTATCAGCTCGATATTTGCATACAATTGCTTAGATGCTTACAGTTAAAACAGTTAATAGGTGCGGTTGGTGGTATTAGGATGGGTTTTAATGTTCACGTTTACAATGTACAAAACAGGGAAATGATCAGATTCAACTACATATGTGCATATTATTTTCATTTTACATTTCATGTTGCAGTTGAAGAAGTGTCGTAAAGGCGTCCGATGATCTGGAGCAACAATTTCCCTCCCGATATGTTTCCAACACTGAGTGTCCTTTGCGCTCTTTTGATACTGTGCTTCCCGTGTACAGATTCAAAGAATGACCGAAACCCTTGTCCCGCCACACCTAACTGCCAACAGAATGGTGTTGTTGTTTGTGAGGGATGTGGACTCCCAACATCTTTGGCGTGTCTTTATGGCAGTAATGGATGCGACCTCCATAGTGTAAGTACGTCATAATAGTTGAGGGAGCGACCTTCATCGTGTAAGTACGTAATGATAGTTAAAGGAGCGACCTTCATAGTGTAAGTGCGTAATGATAGTTAAGGGAGCGACCACCTAATAGACATTGTGTTGTGCATGCCGTATATTTTGTTCATTTTGAAAAGGTATGAAAAGAGGAATCTTTATTACTATTGATACTTACTGTTTGGGCCCGAGGGATTTGTCATCTTCTGATGAATCTTGTTTGGGAGGAGGGTTTACCATCTGTTTATTTATCTGAAACAAAGGTGATACGCTGTGATATAACTATTCCAAGCGGCGTTAAATCTAACTTACTAATATTGAAATGCTTTGATTTTATAGGGCCAGAGAACTGATTGTTTGAATGGGGGCACAAAACAGACCTGTGCGTGCAAACCAGGCTATATGGGAGACATCTGTCAACATGACATCCGCAGTAAGTATTTGTTCACCACTCCCAATTCTCCTACAGACCGATCTTGTTTGTAACATTAGCATTTGACCCGGTTGTTGCTGGTTTTCCTTAAGTTCAGCTGGACAGAATACATAGTACATTATCGATATGAATACCGAGACGTTTGCATTAGATTGCAACGCATATCCGGTTTATAAATAGTCTTCAATCCGTGGTTGTCGTAAAGGAAGCCCAATGGGATCGGGTGGCCAGGCTCGCTGACGAGGGACGATGTCAAGTTTGTCCCGCAATATTCCAGCATTTACGACTGCTACTATCCTTAAACAAAAGTTGTTTGTTCTGAGTCACAACATGCCAGGCCTTCTTAAAGCCTTAAAAACAGTTTCTGGTAGAAATGTCGAGGACACTGCTAAATTTTCATGTGTCCGCGTATTTATACAGGTGACCAATTGACTTGCCTTTGTATGTGTTTGTGACAAGTGGGTTAGGATACTTTAACCGATCCGCGAATACCTTATATCATCATTAATTAACAGTCATTCATAAACACATGCATATGAAATGTTTGGAATCGTACAGTACTCAGGAAAGATTTCTTATCACTACGGAAATGATTGTGTCACTATTATTTCCATCTCAAAGAGCATATCTGTTTCCATACATGTTCTACGCTCAGTACTATTTTTGTTCAAAAAGAAGTCAATTTACAATTATTTTTCCAGCATGTCATGACATCTACAATGTTGCACCGGGCACAGCTAGCGGCGAGTATACTCTCAGGACTAACAATGGCAGTACCATCAGAGTTTGGTGCCGCTTCAGCAGCAGTGACATTATCACCTACTTTTCCAAATCCGCTGCAGCCACATTGACAACAGAGGATTTAAGTCTCCACTTAAACACTAAGTCCAAAGTCAGCTTTGTTGCAAAGTGGAGCAACACGACACAATCCGAATCCACAATCTCTCAGCTTGATAGGTTTTTATTCCTACCTCTTGGCATCATGGTCAATGAATATACACTCTACACAAGCCCACACAACCCGAATCTAGGTCCCTATCTATACCTGGGTTTTCATCCCAAAGTCCTCCTTTCGAAAGGTTTCGTGCATGGATACAACGCAAATGGAGTTGACCAGTCATTCAGTAATTGTGACGGAAACCCCAATGCCTATTTCACCTTCTATACGAATCCCAATCAGCGTTCGCCTTCAAGGACAGGATGGGTGAACCCTCATCATCCTTTGACGGATCAGTGGAATTCGGGTGCCAAAATGTTAAGTACAACTGACCATCTCAACGACGACTACTTCTACGACACGGAACTACACTTCGGGGGATGTGGTACTTACGCCATCTCTCCTAGTAATCCAAGTCTCGGCGGTATAGGTCTCGGGGTCGTATATGGTCAGTATCATCAACTTAAGTAAAGTCTTATCTGTTATTTTTTTGCTTTAGATAGAAATGTTCATTATAGATCTAGGTTTTACTACTTTATTTGTTTTTGTCATAAATAATCATTAGCCTATTCATTAGCCTTTTCTGTTAATATCTCCAACCAATACTTTGACAAAACTGAATGTGATGTAATATTCCCTTTCATCTCCAGTTCACGGCTAAACACAAAGGCCCTACCCTTGGACTTTGGAATTTAACGTTGTTGTCAAATGCCTGCAACAACAGCAAGAAGGAGCGCCATAGACCACGTGATGATTATGCCTGTACACCTATAACGTTAATAAATAGTATGAATTCAAATCTTGAATCCCTTATTTCACGTCTCCCCACACTGGTTGCAATTAGTGCGGAGGTAACCACGCCCCCAACAACCAGGCGAACATTCGTCACACACCTACATGGTATATTAATTGGTTGAGAATACATTTCATGAATACTCGGTCCTCGAAACACAATTTTAATAAACAAGGTTACGTTTCGCATGACACGGATATACAGCTTGTCGTGAAAGATCAAGGATTCAGTAATTATTGCTTAATGTGTAAAGCGATTTCAAAGTCAGTATTAAGAATAATACGAGGCACTGCTACACAGAGATTCACACTGTTTTTCTGTTGTTTATTTACCACAATACATGTCCGTATTTGACAGTGTTTAACAACCCTTGTGTAAACAACATTAAGTTAGTTAAAGCCAACATGAATTATCCACATGAATATCCTCCTAATGTCATTGCTGTGAGATTAAAACTGGGATTTCTTCTAACCGACGTCTGTTTTAACACAGCTCGTGTCACTGTAGACTACCTACATAATGCAAACATCAACGGCTTACCCTGGCCGTTGAGATATCCAGATCTCAACCCAATCGAACACCTCTGGGATGAACTCGATCGACGTATACGTCAACGTCAGAACACGCTGCAGACACTCCCACAACTGGTCAAAGCGTTACAAGCAGAATGGCGCAGAATTCCGCAGGACAGAATCCGTACATTTATCCAGTCAGTGTCGAGGAGATGCAGAGCCGTGATTGCTGCCCGGGGCGGTCACACGTAGATACTGAGTTCAGCGCATTCTTGTGGCCTAATGTGACATGACAAAGAACATTTTTCAATGCCTTTGTACAACGACAATATGTGACTATCGAGCTCCAAAATTTCATATTTATATAAATATATCGACTTTATTATGTACAATAAATTAACTAAAAATCCACTTGTGCGTTTCCTTTTTTGAAGAGTGTATGTGTTCATTACACACGTGTGAATGAGGAAGTGATTAACAACTTATACTTACGATTTAGTCGGAATCGTACAATGGGTTCTGATTTTAGTTGCGAATTCTTATGATTATGGGTGTTTTTTTGTAGCTTTTAATTTACATGGATTTTTTACTCATTAATATTACATTTCATGTTGCATTAAACTTTCTGGCAGTAGATGTATACGCTGTACTGGTGATAGGGGTATAATGGTGCATGGGTTTCTCGATACATTTTTATATTTTGTACACATTAACCTGAACAAAGCATAACTGTATTTTTGCAACTTGCTAAGTACAATTAAAATATATCTTGCAGCTTTCGCCACTGGTCAATCGCAGTTACAGTTACTTAGCAAACACATACATGTAAGCGTTAAACTGTGTAAGTATTGTTATAGCGCGCCATTTGCCCTATTATTCCTCAAAAGAAAGTTTGATATTTGATAACATATCAAATGTAATTATGCTTTATATATTTGGTCTATTTTCTATTATACAAAATGTTACACAGTTTTTGCCGAAGTCAACATTCAGTGTCACTGCTGCGTCACGGCAACTCAAGCCAAGCCTGTCATGTAATTAGAGTGGTCACTATGTGTAACAGTTTAATCCCTTAAGCAAATATCCGCCTTCATCAGAATACACAAGGGCTTAATCACACCATGTGTCTTTGTTTAAATTAATTCAAGTCTCACTAGGTTAACTATGTGAGCTTTGTTAAATCCGGGAACAATACTTGAAAATTAGATATATGTCAATTTAATCGTAGATATTAAACAATAAAGATACAGTTTGACCAATCAGAGCAAAGTGTACGTTATACCTCGTCAATGTTTTGGGTAATATTAGAGCAGGACATAGCTGTCCCAATGGGCGCCTGCGTTAGTGTTTAATGTGTGTGTTGATACTATGAACATTGAATCGTGTCACTTGTATTTGCTTGTTGAAACTCAGAACTTTGATTTGTGTCTTTTGAATAAATTATGACTTATTTAGAAAAGGTTTAAACGAAGATCCAAAATGAGAAAATTCATATAATTGTTTTCATTTATGTCCTTTATCTAAATTAGCCAGAAACATGGATTGATGCAATTGTACCCAATTATGTGAACGAAAGCATTTTTAGGAATGTACATACATATATAAAGAAAACAAAAAGGTTTGAGTGAGCAATGTGAATGTACATTGTTTCTCTATTTCTTTTCATTCCTTTCTGTCATTCAGTGGATTAACTTGTAAATAAGCATACATGTAAATCAATGTGAAAAGACGTTCTAAGTTGTGATGACGTGTGCCTAATCATTTTCATGAGAAGAAATTATGTTTAAACTGAAAATATATTATTGTGTATATGTACAAGTATGTTGATGTTGAAAAGCTTGTATAAAGCATTCCTTTCGTGACTAATATGCTAAAAGACATTAGTGGACTTGACGTTACAGAACTTAGTAATGTAAATACTTAATATAGTCATTCTAAAATGAGGTATCATTAATATAATATGTACTAAGCTGATACTGACAACCTTTGGTATGTTTTTGTATGTACTCTGTATACGAAATGGTTCAGTGTTAGTTTCATAAGGCTTACTTGAAATATAAACTTACAAGGAAGGTAACAATTTAATCAGAAACCTTTTTTTGGTTTTTAATGTAGATTTGGGTGAAATTACATGCAGTTTTGTAAAGGCTTACTTGAAAAATAAAATGACGAGGTATGTAACGATTAAATTTTAATGTTACAAGAGATGGTGCTACACCAGTATAAATGTTGATAGTTTAAGAAGTAAGGATATTGTATAGTATACTATCATTATGTGATAAGATAAAGCTTATGCTAACCTATTATAATATTTAAGTATAATATATATAATGTATAGCATATTGGATAATTGTAAATTGCACTATTTATTTATATATGGAAACACACAGCTTCGACACGAATGTATTTACCAAAGTCATTTATACATATCAAAAAGGGACACAGCTTTGCCTAATTCTGATTTACTTGCTTCCATGCACAAGGAGCTGGATAACGTGGCTCTACCTGCCAGTCAGAGAGTCAGCAACCCCAGGGCACGGTCTTCCTACAAACCTTAAAGGGCAGGTTCGTTGCTGAACGTAAAGTGTTTGATAAACTTTTAAGAAAATGTCAAAGAAATTATCAACGTAATGAACAAGCACGCCTACTAGTAAAGTTTAAACAGAGAAGACCATTGGCAAAACAGGCATATCAAACGACAGAAATAGCAGTATTCAACTAGAAATTATTGATGATGATGTTGTAATTACAGATAAAGATGATGTGTTAGAAAAATGGAAAAATGACTATAGTTCTCTGTATTCAAAGCATATTAATGTTGATTGTTAAAATTCTGATCAAGCTGATCCAGAGAATGTGGTCAACTGTGACGTAGGACTTGACACTAATTACCTTGATGCAGCTATCGCGCGTGCTGAGGTTGAACGTGCTGTAACACGTGCTAAACGTGGTAAGGCTGCTTGTAATGACCTACTCCAGGCTGAAGCTTTGAAAAACAACAAATGTATTGATATTTTGTGGAAACTGTTTTGAAAATATGGTTTTTGAAAATTGTATTTGCCCTGATTTATGGCAACTTAGTGTTGGTAATCCAATTAGGAAAATCTAATACAAATCCTCGGGATCCCCTCAGCTACCGAGGAATTTCCCTACTATCAATTCCTTGTCAAATGTACTGACATTTTAAATTCCAAATTAAATACCTTGTTAGAAAATAACGAAATTTCAGCTAACGAGCAAAATGGCTTTCCCTCAAAATGTAGTACCCAAGAACATATTTATTCATTATATTCAGTTGTTAATAACCGTAAACAATCAAAACAGTCCACTTTTGTTTGTTCCATTGATATTATGAAGGCCTTTGATAAAGTCCATAGACAGTCCCTGTGGTATAAATTGAAACGTTTAGGCATCAGTGGTAGGTTCCTTAATGTTGTTCAACCCATGTATGATAACATTCAATCTTGTGTAAGAGTGAATGATCTCAATACTGATGTATTTTCTGCATATTACGGTGTGCGACAAGGTTGCGTTATGTCGCCGACACTTTTTTCGGTTTCCATTAATGATCTAGAATATGTTAATAGTTTACGTCGTGGTATTAACGTTGGTGATGCTATACTTAGCCTTTTGTTATATGCTGATGATATAACCTTAAAAGCACCTAATGAACATTTTTTTACAGCGTATGCTTGAACGTGCGGCCAATTGGTACTCTGCATTGCAATTAAAAGTTAATCAGAAATAAAACGATGATGATAATGTCATTGGTTAAACAGAAGCTTATAAATATATTGAATTATGGTTTCATTAACACCTTAATCTTAATTTTACAGCGAATGAAATCTGCAAGTCGTGCTTTGGATGTAATAATTTGCAAATTTAAATCAGTTGGTGGACTACCTTATGAAGTTTTTAATACTCTTTATGCAAATCTTGTTCAACCAAGGTGTTGGGATATGGGGTGGAGGAAACAACATGTTGAGGTTCTCAGATTCCGGCGCCGTTTACACAGAGCACAGCAATCCATCATTGTTAGATCTGTGAATAACAAGGTCGCTTAAGTTTAGAAAATCCTGGCATAATGTTACATATTCACTTCTTTAAAACTGGGCTATACCCCTGTCAAATGTTTTGACATATCCTCAGCTGATTGATTCTGCAAAACAGTGGTTAATGTGTATTGATTATAATAACTGGCTTGTAGAATTATGGAATGATAGAAATTTAGTAAATGGTAATACGCTATGAACGTATAGACGATTTAAAACTGATTTTTATATCGAGAAGTATGTCAGTGCTTCACTTAATGGATACGAAAGAAGTATTTTTAGTAACTTTCGTTGTGGAACCTTACCTTTAGAGATTGAATTAGGATGATACACAAAACCTGTACCACTTTTAATAAATAGACTAAATAGAAGATGAAATACACTTTCTTGCAACTTGTGAGCTTTACTCATACCTACGTTTTAATTTGTTTCATTCTATTTC